TTCCGGGTCCAGTCCCTCCCCAGAGGTCACAATCTGTGACGTCATCAGAGTTCCGCCCTAGTCTTCCAGAGAAATTCTCCGGTAACATGAAAGATTGCAAAGGATTTTTATTCCAGTGTCGGTTGATTTTTCAGAACTCTCCTGGTAGTTTTTCCACAGATCACAAGAAGATAACGTTCATTCTTTCTCAGTTAACAGGAAGAGCCTTGGAATGGGCTCAGGCAAGATTTGCCACTGACGACAGTTTAAATTGCCGTTTTTCTGACTTCATTGCTGAATTTACCCAGGTTTTCAACCAGGAAACTGACCAAACTATTGATTCCAGAGCTCTTTTCAGCCTTAAACAAGGAAATTCATCGGTGGCAGATTTTTCAATAAACTTCCTGGTTAAGGCGGCAGCTTCCGGATGGAACCAAAGCGCCTTGAAGGGAGCCTTCTTCATGGCATTAAATGAACAGATTAAAGATGAACTAGCAACCCTCGACGAACCTGCTTCCCTCGAGGATTTAATTCGCCTCTCCATTAGACTTGATAATAGGATTCGAGCCAGAAACAGTTCTAAGAAGCAGAGTAATTTCTCTCCTGCCTCTCTTAACGTGACTGTGTGTTCTCCCTCTACAGAGCAGATGCCCACTCAGAGGTCTAAGTCCCAGTCTCTACCATTGCCTGTTCAAGCCTCTCATTCGGGGGAAAGGGATTTTGAACCAATGCAGGTGGGACACACTAGGCTCACTCCTGAGGAGAGACAGAGGCGTTTCCTAAGTAAACTATGTATCTACTGTGGCGAGAGTGGACACTTCATCGCCTCCTGCCCGGCAAAATCAAAAGCCGGGGCCCGCCAGAGGATCTGAGGAGTCTGGTGGGCCAAATAAATACAATAAAATCTCCTCGTTTGTTGCTGCCTGCCACGCTCTTCTGTGATAACCAAAGTCTCTCTTTCTCCGCTTTCATCGACTCAGGCTGTGAGCGTAACCTAATTGACTCTAACCTCGTCCAGCAACTCCAGATTAAAACCGTTCCTCTCTCTCAGCCTCTCAGTGTGTCCGCCATAGACGGAAAAAGACTCCACCGTGTTACCCACCAAACCCAGCCCCTCGAGCTACTTCTGTCAGGTAACCACCGAGAGACAATAACTTTCTTTGTTTTTCCCTCTGCATGTTCCCCGCTGGTCCTCGGGTTCGAGTGGTTGGAGAAGCATAACCCTCACATTAATTGGTCTAAACGTCTTCTGGAATCATGGTCCACTACTTGCCACGAAACCTGCCTTCGTTCTGCTGCCCCTATGGTGGGGCCTCCTAGTGGTGGGGGGGAGATGGACTCTCCTGACCTTTCTTCAGTTCCCTCTGAGTACCATGACTTAGCCCCTGTCTTCAGTAAGGTCAGTGCGACGTCCCTACCTCCACACAGACCATACGATTGCGCCATTGAACTTTTACCTGGTGCACCTCTTCCTAGCAGCAGATTGTATAACATTTCCAAGCCCGAAAGAGAAACAATGGAAAAATACATCAACGAATCATTAGCTGCTGGAATAATTCGCCCTTCATCCTCTCCATTGGGCGCCGGTTTCTTCTTCGTGGGCAAGAAGGATGGTTCCCTGAGACCCTGTATTGATTATCGAGGTTTGAATCAGATCACAATTAAAAATAAATACCCACTGCCTCTTCTCGCCTCTGCTTTTGAACCTGTACAGGGTGCAACAGTGTTTTCCAAGCTGGACTTAAGAAACGCCTATCATCTCCTTAGGATACGAGAGGGCGATGAATGGAAAACTGCCTTTAAGACACCCTTGGGTCAATTCGAATACCTGGTGATGCCCTTCGGTTTAACAAACGCTCCTGCCTGCTTTCAGGCTTTGGTTAATGATGTTCTCAGAGATTTCCTCAACGTGTTTGTTTTTGTGTACATTGATGACATTCTCATTTATTCCAAGGACCTCCATGAACACAAGAGACATGTCCGTCTTGTCTTACAGAGACTACTGGAAAATAAGCTGTTCGTGAAAGCCGAGAAGTGCGAATTCCATCAACCTTCAGTCACCTTTTTGGGGTTTGTGCTCGAGGGCGGCCAGGTAAAACCTTCAGAAGACAAGATCAAAGCAGTTTTAGACTGGCCAGTTCCTGAAAACCGAAAACAGCTACAGAGGTTTTTAGGGTTCGCTAACTTCTATCGTCGATTCATAAGAAACTACAGTCAAACCGCCCTTCCATTAACCTCTCTGACTTCCATTAAACAAACTTTTCAGTGGACTCCCGAGGCTCAAGCTGCTTTTGAGAAACTCAAATCCTTGTTTTCCAGAGCTCCCGTTCTAATTCAACCTGATCCAACAAAACAGTTCATCCTAGAGGTGGATGCTTCAGATTCTGGGGTTGGAGCGGTTCTCTCCCAGAGGCTCGACTCTGATCAGAAAATACACCCATGTGCTTTCTTCTCTCGTAGACTCTCTTCCGCTGAACAGAACTATGACGTGGGTGACCGAGAGCTCCTGGCTATTAAGTTGGCGTTGGAAGAATGGAGACATTGGCTGGAGGGAGCTGAGCATCCGGTTCTTGTGTGGACAGACCACAAGAACCTGGCTTACATCCAGTCAACAAAGCAGGCAAATCCTCGCCAATCCAGGTGGTCAATCTTCTTCTCACGTTTCAACCTTATCATTTCCTACAGACCCGGATCCAAGAACGTGAAGCCCGATTCTCTCTCTCGTCTCTACTCCGTCGACCATCCTGAGACACCTGAACCTGTCCTTCCAGCTTCATGTACCATTGGAGTGGTCAATTGGGAGATAACGGACCTAATCAACTCTGCCCTAGCCACAGAACCAGATCCAGGTACCGGTCCGCCTAATCGTACATATGTCCCATCTTTCTTTCAGGTCCCGTCTGATCCAGTGGATGCATGCCGCCAAATTCACCGCTCATCCAGGAGTGAGTAGGACAGTTGCTCTCATCTCCAGGCGCTTCTGGTGGCCCACACTCCACAAAGACGTAAAGGAGTATGTGTTGGCTTGCCCTACATGTGCCCGCAACAAAGCCTCACACCAACCACCTTCAGGCCTGCTTCAACCACTTCCTGTTCCCTCGCGTCCTTGGTCCCACATAGCCATTGATTTTGTCACCGGTCTCCCTGTCTCCCGAGGTATGTCCACCATACTAACCATTGTTGATCGTTTCTCGAAGTCCTGCCATCTAGTACCCCTCAGGAAACTTCCCACGGCCTTCCAGACAGCCCAGCTACTTATTAAACATGTTTTCCGGCTTCATGGTATTCCCCAGGAAATCCTCTCGGACAGAGGTCCACAATTCATCTCACAGGTATGGAAGGCTTTCTGTTCTGCTCTCGGTTGCAAACCATCTCTCACTTCAGGTTACCACCCTCAATCAAACAGCCAGACAGAACGAATGAACCAGCAGCTGGAATCCACCCTCCGCTGTCTGACCTCTAATAACCCCGTGGATTGGAGTCAATACCTCCCGTGGATTGAATACGCCCACAACTCTCTCCGTTCTGCATCCACTGGACAGTCCCCATTCCAGGTCAGTCTCGGATACCAACCACCTCTTTTCCCTGCAGATGAGAGAGAGATATCGGTGCTGTCCGTCAACCAACACATCCGTCGCTGTCAGAGGATTTGGAGGGAGACCATCGCCACACTCAACCAGTCATCCGAGTCAGTTAAACGTTTCGCCGACGCCAAGAGACGTCCCGCCCCCGAGTATTCTGAAGGCCAGGAAGTATGGCTCTCCACTCGAGACATCCCCCTCAAGGGGATGTCTCGAAAACTCTCCCCGAGATTCATTGGTCCCTTCAAGATATCACGAGTCATCAACCCCTCAGCTGTTCGTCTCCAATTACCTCAGTCCCTCCGAATCCACCCTACATTCCACGTCTCCCAGATCAAGCCTGTTTCTTCGAGCCCTCTGTGCCCACCGTCCGACTCCCCACCACCCGTCCTGGAGGTCGATGGCCATCCGGCCTTCACTGTGCGCCGCATTGTAGACTCCCGTCGACGAGGTCGCGGATGGCAGTTCCTCGTCGACTGGGAGGGCTACGGACCGGAGGATCGTCAGTGGGTCCCAGGCTCGTACATCCTCGACCCTACACTTATCGAGGAGTACGAGCGTTCCTGCCCATCTACCTCTTCCGCACCGCCAAGGGGCGGTCGTTGAGGGGGGGGGTACTGTTGGGAGCTGGAGAAAATCCCATCTTTCTCCAGCAGAGTCTGCCGTGGATCCTCTGAGGGAGCCTCCTGCACAGCTGCAGCTCATCTAGATCATCAGAGGATCCACTATATAAGCTGTCTTCAGACCTTGCCTCAACGCCGCAGTGTTGTTCCAGTTGGTCAGCGCTAAAGCCTAGATCTTTGTGTTATCTCCATGACTTTGAATCCAGGTTGGATTCTAACCACTCTCCCTGTGTTTTCAGGAAACCCGTGTCTCCTCTGTGAAAGCTCTGGAAGAGCTAACCTGCCGAGCCGACCCTCTGAGCCAAACCCTGAAGATTCTCTGAGAACCTCCAAGCAGCTCTGGACTAGAGCTGGGAAACCAAAGCTAAGGTCTGTTCAAGCTAGACGTGAGACGCTGAAGCAGCAAACGGACTCTGCTGATAAACACCTCTCCAGAACCAACAGTGACTCTCCTAAAGAGAACCTAAAGAACCCTCAAGGTACTATCAGAACTCACTTGGAAATCAAATCCTGTCAGCAGTCCATAACTGCTCTGTCTCTCACGCAGACTCCGGTGAAACCAGAACCCAGGCCCGAACCAGTCAGCTGTACATTCTGTGTGTTGTGCTTAATAAACTTGTTAAACTTTCATCCTTGTGTCCGTCAGTGGTGTTCTGCATTATTGGGTCTCCATTTGAGAACCCATCATGACAAATGGGACATTTTATTAGTCTGACTTTGTTCCAAAAGCATGTCAGACTTGTCATATCCTGACATCATCTCTTTTCTTGACCAACCCCTTGGATGAACAAATACACTGCTCTTGTTCTTGTTCTACTGGCCTCATGGGCTGTGTAGCACCATGAGGCCAGTGAACCCGAGATAGTCTCACTCCAGGAGCCGATACCAAACAGTCCATCATGAGATAGCTTGCTTCCCGCTGTCAACCACACCACAATAAATGAGTTTTAACAGCACTATCGTCCAATCCTGGAGCCTCTTCTATTTTTATTAAAGGTGCTGACAGAGTGTAACTATAAAGAGAGAAGTGCACATTTTGTAAAGATGTTAAATAATAACGGACATGTTCTCAAGGGATTACGATTACCCTTATTTTGCAGAATCTTTTATTATTTACGTTTGGTATGTAAACAACGGCTGTTAATAATTGAGAAGGTCCTGTTTTCCTTTAATATCTTTGATGTAATCACCCTTTAAACTGCATTTGTTGGAATAGAATTTAAACATTTAGAAATTCTTCCCTCAGGGAAACTACTCTAAATCCAACAACCGTAGGAACTAAAGAGTCTTGCTTATCCCTCGCCATCTTTTTTCATTGGGTCATTTTGGTGGTGTGGGAGAAAACCTGCATGATTTAATGTAACGTAATGTAACCTTTTATCTGTCAGAGTAAAAAAATAAAAGCACTCATTGGTAGAAAAAGTTTTGAGGTAACAGAAGATCAAAGCGCCGTGACAATGATCAGGGGTTGAATTCTTGCCGATTCCTCAGCAGAATCATGTTTAACACATTTAAGTTTGTTCTTTAGCCCTAACTAAATATCAGAATAAAGCTCTATATGAAAGGAAAACTATACTTTACCTGTTTAAGTATTAGATTATTGAAAACAAAAAGTCAGCACAAATCTTAACATTCCCATAACATGAGTTGGGACTCAATATATGACTTACCAAGCAGTTGGACTCCTCTGGTTAAGCCATAGACATCAATGAGAGCCCAAAGAGGATCAGCAACACGCACACCACTGAAGAACATCATGGGGTTGGAGTTGTTGATACGGTAAAACACTCTGCCCTTCTTATCAACCCAGAAAGATATGACATTCCCCTCATTAGATAGCTCCTCTGGCAGTGCTTTTGCCCAGAAGCCATTTTGAGAGACGAGGTCAGGGCAGGCATACTTGGGCAAGTTGTCTGGATTAATCCTTGATGGGTCTTTAGATGTAAAACCCAGACGTAGGGCTCCACTCCAACAGCATTGCTTTTTAGTGATCTGGAGAGTACAGTGGACAGAGTTGGATCAAAAGTTACTCAATCATGACAAAAAACAGCAAATTTGATCATCCACTTCTTTTATTTGCATGCTGCTGTCATTTTTGCACATCTCTGATGTTGCTGCTATTTTCAAATATCCATTACTGTAAAAATGTCCATAGCTGTATAATGGTTATTTATTCTCCAGCGCACAGTTTTTATATTGTTTTAACACTTTACGGTACAGTATTTTTTTGTTTATCTTTTTACTCACTATTATGTTATTCTTATACCATAGTTTCCCCATTATGGGACAATAAATGGATTTTTAATTTTATTCTATTCTATATTGGTTTTTGCTTATTTGTTCACTTGTTGATTGCATTGCATACTGTACTACGGAAACCACTATTGTTACCAACAAAGAGATCAAATTAAGGATAATTACGATAATGTTGTGACACATTTTTCTTCCAGGTTTAAGTTATTCTCAACATGGACCTGTGAGAGACTGAAACCAACATGTAAAAGTAAACATCAGTTCAAAAGTGATTTTAAATGAAATTTTCCAACAAATGTGGCTGTCATTGTGTACTAATGCCATCATTAGAACCACACCATTTATCACCTGGAAAGGTGACCAGTGCATCACATAGGCATAATTAATGTGACTGACATAAAGATAAAAGATTACTTTACTTTCCAAAATAAAATATACATTTTTTGTGAGACCGTGTCCTTTTAACATACGATTATAACTATAGAGCCTAGATCTTTGTATGGGCCTATTACAAACATCCTGACAACAAAGAGAGAGACCATATTACAACGTGCAAAGTCTCTCAGAGGAACAAAAATCTACATCAACGAGGATTTCACAGACACAGTCAAGCAAAAGAGGAAAGAGCTGATGCCTGAGCTGAAAGCTGCCAGAGAGAGAGGGGACATTGCCTACCTACGCTACGACAAATTGGTTGTTCATCCACGCACTAGCACACCAAAACAATCGTAAAGACATTGGACAATGGTATGTTGAACAACTTTTCATATGACACTTGAAACTACACATCCGAAATCGGAAAAATTGTTAAGAAAACTTGTTGAATTGAACCATCTGGAATCAAATACTTCAAAACATACTGCATACAAATCACAGGCCAATCAAATTGATATTGACCCAGATATACATTTTTTTCTTAATAATGATGACTGCCAATATTATACTGATGACCAATATAACAACACTTTTAAGACTGAAAATAAAATCTCATTAATCCATATCAATAGTAGAAGCTTGTATGCTAACTTCAGTAAGATCAAGGACTATTTAAATCAATTTACACAGTCGTTTAATATAATTTTGGTATCAGAAACATGGATTAATAATGAAAGGGGCATGGATTTCGAACTTGATGGATATGAGTTGTTGTGTGTGAACAGGAAGAACAAAAATGGTGGTGGTGTAGCTATGTATGTGGATATGAATTATAATTATAAGGTGATAGAAAATATGTCAACTGTGATAGATAATGTGCTTGAATGTATAACAATAGAAATAAGTCGGACAAAAAAGAAAAATATCATTGTAAGCTGTATATATAGAACACCAGGTTCAAATATAGATACTTTTAAAAACTGGATGGAAGATCACTACACAAGTGAAAACAATAAAGTCATGTTTATTGGTGGCGACTTTAATATAGATTTGATAAATCCAAATAAACATAAGTTGACGGATGAATTTATAAATACAATGTATAGTATTGGGTTACATCCCAAGATTACCAGACCCAGCCGAATCACAACTCACTGCGCAACGTTAATTGATAATATATTTTCTAATGAAATGGATAATAATACAGTAAGCGGATTATTAGTAAATGATATCAGTGATCACCTTCCAGTCTTTACAATCTATAATGATGATCAAATTAAAAATAAACAGGGCAAGATAACACTGTACAGAAGGGTGAGGTCTGAAGAAACTATGGATGCATTCAAAAATGAGTTACTAAGACAAGATTGGGAGTTCTTGTATCAAGAAAATGATACTGATAAAGCATACAATGAATTTTTAAGAACATTTAAAATATTATATGATAAAAATTGTCCAATTAAACAATACTACAGAAAACAAAAGTATATGAATGATCAATGGATGTCAAAGGGACTGAAGAATGCTTGCAAAAAGAAAAATACACTATATAGAGAATTTATAAAACATAGAACTAAGGAAGCAGAAGATAAATACAAGAAGTATAGAAATAAGTTAACTAATATTATGAGGAACTGTAAGAAAGATTATTACAAGAAGTTACTGGATGAGAATAAGCACAATATAAAAGGTATATGGGATATTTTAAATAGTATAATTAGAAATAAAACTAGAAATATTAATTATCCACAGTATTTTATAGAAAATGAAAAAAATATAAATAACATAGATGATGCGGTTAACAAGTTTAATGAGTTTTTTGTAAATGTCGGACCAAAACTTGCAAATGAAATTGAAGATCCAGTGAAATTCAATGAAGATAATCTAATAGATAGAAATCCAAGCACAATGTTCCTTAAACCTGTGGATGAGAAGGAAATCATAGATATTGTTAGCGAGTGTAAAAGCAAGACATCTACTGATTATGATGAAATAGATATGAAAATAATAAAAAAGGTTATTCATGGGATCTCCAAACCATTAATGTATATTTTTAATTTATCATTACAAACCGGTAAATTTCCCAATAATATGAAAATAGCTAAAGTTATTCCTGTGTACAAAACTGGGGACAAGCATCATTTCACAAATTACAGACCGGTTTCTCTTCTCCCACAGTTTTCAAAAATTCTGGAAAAAGTTGTCAATTACAGGTTAGACAATTTCATAGAAAGACATAATTTACTCTCAGATAATCAATATGGATTCAGAAGAAATCGATCAACATCACAAGCATTAATTGAACTAATAGAAGAAACAACAAATTCCATAGATAGCAAGAAATATTCTGTTGGGGTTTTTATTGATCTAAAAAAAGCATTTGATACTATAAATCATGATATATTAATTAACAAATTAGAGCAATATGGGATCAGGGGACTAGCACTAGAGTGGGTAAGAAGTTATTTAAAAAACAGGAAGCAATTTGTGAAGATGGGAGATCATCAGTCAAGATGTTTGGACATTGTGTGTGGTGTACCACAGGGGTCGGTCTTGGGTCCTAAATTATTCATCATGTACATTAATGACATATGTAAGATATCACAAAAACTCAAATTTATTTTATTTGCGGATGACACAAATATAATAGGATCAGGTGAGAATTTACAGCAACTTTTGGACACTATCACCTCAGAATTCATTAATATTAAATACTGGCTAAATAAAAATAAACTGTCACTAAATTTGAGTAAAACAAAATATATGATATTTGGTAACAAAAAAATAAATCATCATGCACGGGTACAGATAGGAGGGGTTGATATAGAGAAAGTATATGAAACTAAATTTCTCGGGGTGATAATAAATGACAAGATTTGCTGGAAGTCTCATATTAAATACATCAGCACTAAAATATCTAAAAGCATCTCTGTAATAGCCAAAGTAAGATATTTTTTAGATTACAAATCACTCCATGCTCTGTTCTGTTCTTTGGTCTTACCTCATTTAATTTACTGTATAGAGGTATGGGGAAGCACATATAAAAGTTCACTAGAGCCACTGTTCATATTGCAAAAAAGAGCCATGAGAATAATTCATAAAGTTGGATATCGAGAACACACCAACACACTATTTATAATGTCTAAAATCATGAAGCTTTATGATATGATAGAATTCCAAACAGCACAATTTCTATTTAAAGCTAGAAATAAGCTGTTACCAAGTCACTTGACAAATTTGTTTTATGAGAGAGAGGGGGGGTATGATTTAAGGGAGATAACTAATTTTAAGATTCAAAGATACAGAACTGCAAGGAAAAGATTTTGTATAACAAATAGTGAAGTGAGGCTATGGAACAGACTGAGCATGGATTTGAAGCAATGTCCAAACATCAACCAGTTTAAAAACAATTATAAACAAATGATTTTTACAAGATACAGTGAGGAGGGGGCTTGAGGGGGAATAGAACTTGCTCTGCCACTATGAATTAAAATCGATAAGAAGTCAAGAGAGATGAAATAAAAAAAAAAAAAAAAAAAAAAAGTGTGAGAGAAAAGGGTTTTTGGTTTATGGATATGTATGGATATACGTGTACGTAGATAGAGATATGTGTATACTGTCTATAGTAATTGGGGTGTGTATGTATATGCATGTATGTGTGTATGTGTTTGAGATACGGGTGTATGTGTAAGTATGCATGTGTGTATATATATGTATAGGTATCTATGAGTATGTGTATGTATATATATATATATGTATATATGTATGTGTGTGTGTGTCTGTATATATAGATATGTATGTATGCTTAAACATTGGTAGATGTTAATATAGAACAGGGGTAGGATTTAATAAGTTTTATTACTTCTTCCTACTCCTTTTCGAACATGATGGGATGTACATATGTTTTTTTTTTTTTTTTTTTCTTCTTTTTTTGTTTTGTTTTGTATGACTTTATTAATTTACTTATATTTGCTTTTTATTAAGTGTTCGAAATAAATGATCAATCAAAAAAAAAACAAAGGTCCAAAATTATATTCTAGGTCAAATGTCATCTAATCTCGACAGAGCAAATAATAGCTTTTTATTAAGAATTACGTAGTTAGAATTGAGTGTAAAATACCCTGTAAGCTACGTTTTGATTTGAGTTTTCAATTATGTTTTCAACACACTTCCCAGTTGAATTGGGAGTCAGGCTTACATTCCTATTCTAAGTGCCAAGCCACAAGCATTGCTTAAAGCAACATTTCTGTTTTTCCAACTAAGGCTGGTTACGTTGGTATGTTTATCACCTGCAAACGATTTTTGTCTTATTTCAACCCTCTATTTTGTTAGAATGTAAGGCTCAAGATAACAATATTCCTCATATGGCAGTGCTTGCCCTGCTCTCTCGCTTTTGAGAAATAGATGGGCTGATAGGTGAAGTGGAAACTTCTTCTAAGCTGCCGCTGCTTTGGCCCACACAAGAGCAGCATAGAGAGAAAAGATTGGAGATAAAAAATTGCAAAGAAATAATACTGTGGGAGTTAGTTGGGAACAAAAAAGAGAACTTCTACTTTAAATCAGAATCCCACTGACCGTTTTCCTCCCTAATCAGATGTGGAAAATGTGTCACAGTGAGAATTATATACTAAATAGATAGCAGTGTCCTCTGATTAGTATACCAGCAAAACCAATTATAAACACGTTTACCTTCAGCCGAACTTGTTCATAAACAGCGATGGGCCTGTTGGTGAAGGTGATAGCATTGCAGAAGCTGGCTTGTCTCTTGACAACTCTCTGTGACAGGTCCATAATAATCTGCGAGCCTTTGGTGCTGGGGTGGAACAGCAGAGGAAAGGAGGACAAATTTCCACATGGCTGGATTGCCAAGTAGCGCTTTGGTTTCTGATGAAATTGGTGGGATGCTGGAGGAAATGGCCCATTTAGAGAATCTGAATGGAAAGCAAAAAGTTGGTTCAACAGGTGTGGGCAGCAGTAAATATGTCATTGTTTAAAGCAAGATAACCTAATCTGTCCCATGTCAGCTCTTGTAACATAGACCTTCCTTGGAAGACCTTACTTTTAGGTCATGACTGTTTTGTGTATTTGTATAATATGTTTGCCAAGTTACAGGGCACCAGGGGCGTAGCTAAAGCTGGGGGAACTCTTTGGCAACTCTTGTGGCCATCCCTATGGTTATTTATTCCAATTAAACATACTAACATTGAAGACTACAAATACAAATAATAGTTTGTTTTTTGCAACCTTAAACCATTTTTAAAGAATACAGTTAGAGCAGAGGGGCTACAACAGAAGCTACCTGGATACATTAAAGGAATAGTACACCCAAAACATGATTAGCCTTCATTTTCTACTCACCCCCATGCTGAACAACACTCTGGAGTACTTTTTTGATATCTCAAATGCATCTGGAGATCTGGGAGGCTTCTTGCTGTCTGCTGACATTCAAATAATGGAGGTCTATGGTGCCCGAGACAGAAAGGTCCATAAAAGTCCACAAAAAACGTGTCAATATTCCTCCATACTGCTCGTCCAATGTATTCCAAGTGTCCTGAGTGGGTAATTCTAAGTAATTTAGAATGTTTTTAGAGCATAAACAGTAGTGTATAGGATTTCCTGAAAGCGCGCACATGCGCGCTCACGAAGCTACGGAAGCCGGCAGACCAAACCAGCGCATTCAGCTCGGCAAAGAACTCATGCTCTTCCTCAACACTGAAGTCCTCAGACATTTTTCTTTCGTTGTTTCTGTCTTTGCACAGGTAAACAGCACATTTCTTCTTCTACGCTTGCATTATTGGCAGAGCAGACGCTGAATGCGCACTTTCATCTGGTTTGGTCTGCCGGCTTCCGTAGCGTCGTGAGCGCGCATGTGCGCGCTTTCAGGAAATCCTATACACTACTGTTTATGCTCTAAAACATTCTAAATGACTTCGTTTCGAGTAAATTATGGACGCTACCCACTCAGGACACTTAGAATACATTGGACGAGCAGTATGGAGGAATATTGACACGTTTTTTGTGGACTTTTATGGACCTTTCTGTCTCAGGCACCATAGACCTCCATTATTTGAATGTCAGCAGACAGCAAGAAGCCTCCCAGATCTCCAGATGCATTTGAGATATCAAAAAAGTACTCCAGGGTGTTGTTCAGCATGGGGGTGAGTAGAAAATGAAGGCTAATCATGTTTTGGGTGTACTATTCCTTTAACACTAGAAGCCTTATCCTTAGGTGAACACCTCACAAGGACTTGGACACCAAATAGCAACACTTTCTCACTCCCAACTCATCAAATATTGACCCTTTCAGTCATAGATCCCAGCAGGTATCACTCTTGATCTATATTGACATCCAGGGTAAATGATAGGTAGTGGACATTGTATCACCTGACACCCACGTGACCCGCAACAAATCCTTTTTTTTTATTTTACCTTACAAAGACATGTATACTAGTGTTTCTTTATGTTTAGGGTAAGGGGTGGGTTGGCATTAGTTTTTTAATTTGCAGTTGACGGAATATTTTTGCAAGTTCCTGCCTAAACCTGTTGTGCACCCTGTGTGTTAATAAATATCTGACGTGACACGGGCTTAAATAAGCATCGATATTTGACAACTTGGTAGTGAGAATGCATTGCCAATAGATATGCATCCCTGAAATGCAAAGCCAAAAGAAGGTTGTCCAATATGCCTTTAATTTAGACAGCATCGATGTGTAAATATTAGCATATTTTTATCAGCAAGGGCTTTATAAAAATTGAGTCTGTCTTGAGTTATTTTATTTGGATGATGTGCTTCTTCCTTTTCCTTTTTTAATACAGTGTGATGTAGATTTATCCTGAATTGGTTCTGGCGCAGACTGCTCATTGGTACAGTGGGTAGCACTGCTGCCTTGCAGCAAGAAGGTTCTGGGTTTGATTCCTGGCCTGGGGTCTTTCTACATGGAATTTGCATGTTCTCGCTGACAATGCGTGGGTTCTTTCCAAGTACTCTGGCTTCCTCGTGTCACGATTTGGTTGTGGTTTGAGGACCCAAATGCAGAGGCAGAGGTGAGTTTCTTGTAGATTTAATGAAATGTTAATCGACAACTGAGGCAGGAGTCCAAAAATCAACCCTGAAAAAGGTAAAACAAACCAGAAACCATGGGGACTTCAGGGGAAAACCATCACAACAAGGCAGACACAGTAATACCCCATTTACACTACCCTTGAAAAACCGTGCCGAGACCGGTCCAAGCTCAGTAACTGAGATAACTTATCGTGTGTAAATGGAAAGCAAACTGAACTGAACCGAGTTAGACACAACCGAACCGAGATAACTGCAGACCAGTTCCAGAGGTGGGCTCGCTCGGTTTTTCCCTGGCTTGGTTCTCTGATAACAAGAGCGCATGAGCAGGAAACGTCATCTCCGTCTGGCTGCACATCGCGATTCACTCTCCATTCCAGTAGTTGGCAGTAATGCCCCTCCAGAAACAGAAGAAGAAGAACAACTTCTTCTTCAACTATAAACAACAATCGAAATCTTCTCCATAAAACATTTTAAATAATGGCATTTTAAATAATAACACCGAAGTGCAGCAATAATAATCAAGCATAACTTTCTGAATGTGACTTGGCACCGCCATTTTAATTTGCTTGATTCCCTCCTTCTTTGTCTTCTTCTTCTTGTGTTTTATGGCTGTTGGCAAACAACTTTTGGTGCATTACCGCCACCAACTGCTTGATTTCCTCCTTTAATACTGGCAGTAATACTGCAGATCGTTACTAAGAGGCGAGGAGTCGAGGAACCGAGATAGCGTGATGTGTAAACGGTCGTCAGAACCGAGCTCGGCCTGGTTAACTGATCCGAGCTCGGACCTGTCTCTGCATGGATCGGTTTTTCAAGGGTAGTGTAAATGGGGTAAATGACAGAGTTGGAGGAAGTTAGACGAGTAACCAGCACTGAGGAACTGCACAAGGAGAGTATTTATGGCTAACTGAACAAAGAGAGGACTAACGAGCAGATTGGGAGCAGGTGTGAAGAGAGCAGTTTATGGAGCAAGGAAAAAATGAGACCAACACAAGAGGGCAACAGAGAGCAACAAATAAAACCTGATAACTGAAATATAACTAGAACATACAACAAAATAAGAATTAAACCAATAAAACTAGAAAACATGGAGCAAAGTTAAACTGAACACTCAAAAGAAAACTGCTAGAACCAAGACTGTGACAGTCCCTCCCACTCAAGGGCGGATTTCAGACGCCCGAAAATGTCAAAAAAAAATCCACCCAGGGTGGGCGGAGGGGGAACCAAGAAGGAGGGCAAGAAACCAAAAAACAAAGTCCAAAAAAAAAAAAAAAGAATATTGTCATTCTAATCCAAATATATATAAATATTAGGTGAACACTGACTCTTCATATGACTAAGCACTCATTAGGTACTGTAGCTCTCAGCCTCGACAAGGTTTGTGACGCCTGCACTAGAGTGTCACAAATATGGAGATCAGAATCTAAATCTAAACTATTTTACCACTTTCTGTTAGGGCATTTTTAATGTTATTGATCCTTTGTAAGGTTAGAAGCAGCAAAGTAGCCCAGGAGCTGCGGCTCAACAGAGAAACTCAAGGGCTTAGATGCACCTGCTAAAGAATGGTCAGAGAATACAGGATGGACAGGCTTCATATTTCTTTAAAGCAGTTCAAAAAATGTTTGACTTTGTTGCTAGGACTGTTTTAAAAATAATCTTTTTATCTATTAACCCCCAACATCAAATAAACTTCTTTTGTTATTATTATTTTAAAGCCGGGCATACACTATGCGATTTTTTCAATTGTTGCAAGCAGCTATAGCTCACACTGCACGATGAAATTGCACGTTTTCATAATGTTTAATTATATTCCCTTGAAATACAAAGCAAGTAGAAATATGCCTGTAACTTTAACAGGTTTAATTTCAACAAGGTCTGGACAAGTTATGGACACAGGTGGATTTAATACAAATGCCAAATGGATGTTACACTGTCTTAATTTTATTTGTAAAAAAAAAAAAAAAAAAAAAAATTAGAAACCATACATCCTTTTTCTTCCACCTATGAAGTAGAAGAGGAAGTTGTTTTAACATGTTGTTGAAGCGATACAAAACAGAACAAAAATTTAGTTTCTTTTGGGTCAGTGAAAGTGGCATGTAAGAGAAACTGTTACACAATGAATCATATTATCCATTAAAGAGTTTGGGGATTTTTTTTCCCGTGTGAACATTGAATAACTGTTTCAAGCCCGATATTTATATCTTAAAAGGGTTCCCACAGATAAAGGAAATGAAGCATTAGAATCCCAACTCCCTTTTCTTGTTTCCACATTCCTTTTAAAAATGCAACACCAAGGTCGTTGTGGTTTAGTGAAGGAGACGTTTTCTCACAGACTTGAGACTCTTATTAATTGTAAAGCAGAGATTCTTTGGATTTGACTCAAACGAAAATAAGTATTGTATCGTCTAGCCTGATTTTATTAGACAAAGTTTATATGCCACAATCCTAATTAAATTGTTGTCTTTGCCTGTCACATTTAAAGGTTCTAAATTATTACGCAATCCAGACAACCTGCCAAGACTGGAAATGAGTCATTTAAACCTAACTAACACCTCTTCATACTTGGAAAAAAAGATTGCATTCTCACACTTCTACTTGACAAACTGTGGAGGAGCTTCTTGTTTTAATCTCTGAGAGGAACAAATATCCACAGTTATATTCTTAGTTTGCTTTGCAAAGTAACACTGGAGACCATCACATGAGGAGCATTATAAACTTTAGGTCAAATCTATTAGTAACTGTACAACTTCAAAGATGTAGCCCCCTACCCCCTATCAGAGTAAACTGAAAAAGCCCAGAGAGAGAGTTTCAACATGTTTCTGCAGAGTCTTTCTCTGTGAATCACAATAGGATGAAACTCTGCCAAGGGTTCTGGATTCAGAACAGTCTATTTGTTAAACTCTTTGCAAGCTCTTGTCATTGCAGAATAATGTGGGATTATGCTTTGTGCACAACAGTGGTCTTAAATGAAGTCATAACAAATCCTCAGCCATATTGTAGTATGATGTCAAGTCAGATGTGATGTCTTGAGGACAATACAATAGGCCTGTGGTGTAGTCCTTCAATAACAAAGCCTACGACAAAATGGAGTATTTGCTGAAAATTTCTAAAGCAGAAAAATCTTAGTTCCCTGAAGACAGTGTGCACAGTTTCAAGCTAAACCATTGAAACAGAGACGACTATTTTCTCCCTATCAATCGCTTATTTGTGCAGTGTGGTAGAAAAGCATTTGTCTTATTTTAGTGCATATTTCTCTGTTTGCCTTGTCACAGTTAAATGTTTCAGATAATCAAATCAATTTCAATATCAGAAAAAGATATCTAGAACGAAACCCAAAACTCTGCGGTCTTGAGAAATTGAAGAAAATGTTTTAAACGTTTGGAGATAGTGAACCCTCTTTACAAAGATTACTCCAAAATTGCATTGAAGACTCATCCAACAGGTCACAAATACCCAGAAAAATATCTAAATCTCTCCAGGCCAGACTTACTTCAGTTAAGGTCAGTGTTCATGACATACAGTAATAAAGTGGGATATATTGGGATGGACAACTTCTTCTTCCACTGTACCAAAAAAATCCTGGTCACATACTGATGGGTAACTGTTTCATTTTTAAAAGGTTTCTGTATTTCAAATGGGATAAAAAGCATTATAGAAGGAAAGCATTACTACTTAAATGTAAAATGTACTTAGTGTTATATTACAGGACTGCCTCTATGCTTCAAGACCTGGAAAACTTGCTGTGATTGATGGATCTATGCCTCCTTGCAGCTAATTTGGAAGATGAATGCCATTATTAATTATGATATATGTGAACTAGTGAACATTATTGCATTAGCAGATTGTTGCACTTATTTTTGAGTAGAATTTTCCTAAATCCTTTCAAATTCCTGCTCAGAAAAGTGTGTCAGAGTTCATTTCCATTGCCATTTAACGCAAACTCTTGATGGTAGTTCTTACTGGAAAGGGTGTTAGAAGCAGTTGTTGGGTTAAAAGAACTATTTATTGTCATAGAACTAGGTTAGTATGATATTTTTTCATGTGATAAAATGACACAAAACACACAATGTCTTCACTCAGGTTATCTTTAACTGATATCAATATCAGAACGTCAGACAGAAAAAAAACACTAATCAAGTTACTTTTGCTTTGAGACTTCTTTCTGCACATGCACGTCACAGCAATTTTCTGCACAAATAGATGCTAAAAGATATAAAAAATGCATCTTACTGATTTCCAGTAATTCGGCATACCTTTGATTTAACAGATTATTTAAACAGTGTGTCTAAAAAGCCATCAAACCTGACAGAAATTAGGTAAAAACATTAAAAAGTAACAAAGATATTGGCATGATAATTGTATATCCCATAAAATGATTACAATAGTATCAAAAGATGGAGAAATACGAAACCTGACTGAACCTACAAAGACATTAAACAGACTTGGTGTGTTTGGTTTGGCTTTCTGCTCTCTTTACATTTTATTCTAAGGCTGGAGTTCTTTGCAGAGGCCTTAGTGGACATTGTAGCGTGATATGGAATTAGTATCAAGACCACAAGACAAACGCTGAAACAGTATATGTTCATATACAGGCATGTATATTTTTACTTCCTGCAAATACATAATAGCTTAATGGATTCTTCCGAAGAGGTGGGAAATTGTAATGCTAGCTTAAAGAAATATACCTTGTTTTTTTTTTTTTCCAGCCAAGGCCTTTAATGTTATTAGTTTCTAAAACCGTGAGCAAATTCTCAGAGATCTAAAAGAATAGCGGTTCTAATCAAACAGCTAAAAGCTGATTTTGCATTAAAACTCATTAAAGTAAGCTATAAATGGAGCCATAGTAAATGTATGTTAGTTAGATTAGTCAATTATTTTGGTTTGAAGGTTAGGCTTTGTTGGAGCAATTAAGCTCATCAGGTGTCAGTATGTCCAACTATATGCCAAGTGTACCAAGAGAGAAGTAAATATTTTGTTACTGCCACAATGGAATTGGATATGGTATTTCCCTGTACATTCTATTGTTTCAGAACTCTTACTATAATCGGATTGCTAGGATGAGCTGATGGTATGATAAAGCCATTGTAACATAGATGCTTATCTGAGAAGGGGCTAAAAATGGCCCATTGATAAAATATAGATGATTAATATTTACTAACATAGCCTAATAACCTAGGGGCATTTATTTGTTTTATTTTAATAAAATTATCACTTTTTTTTATTTTTTTAATTAAGCTTAGTGAGCAGAAGCTCACTAAAAATACAGTCACATTTTTGACACCAACCACAGTGGAAAACATGGTGAATATTTTAACAAAAATTACTAATATTTGGCTTCTATATGAGCTGCTACTTTATCAAATAGATAAACATATAAGCACAGCAACACATATACTTAGTTTTTATATTGTTTTAATTGCCTAGGTTATACAACCATCTGAGTGGTTGAAAGTTATAATAATTTTTTGCATCCTTCTATTTTAGAAACTACTTGATTTAAGTGAAGCTTGAATCTTCTCTGGATGCCCATGTGAGATCTCTGTCCAAAATTGTGTCATGCACGCTAGGTGAGCTAGGTATAAAGAAATCTATGTACTTTATTCTCCTTGACGGCCATACTCTTACACCATAAAAAAAACAGGAAAATATTGGTGTTAAGGGATAATGAAATTTCTCCATAAAAGTATTCGAGCACAATACAAAATTATGCAAAATTTGGGGGTAGAGTTCCTTTCTAACCGACAACTGTAAAAAAAAAAAAGGAAGAAACCATTGGCCAACAGGTTGTGATAACAAAAAAATGTTTTTATCTAATCTGTGAGTTGATATAATTGAATATATTTTAGTAAAGAATAGTTTGGTCAACATTTCTGCAAATCCAGTAAATTTGCTGTTGTAAACAATAATATAAAACAATATTTTAACTTACTGTACAATATGTGGGTGAGACCAAAGGACTTTAAATGCAATGCAATGTTAGAATATGTTACAATTAGAATATGAAACACTGAAGAAACTAGAAACAGTAAAAAGTAATTTGTGAACTTATTTACATATAGGTATTTACCACAAACAGAAAGCAAAAGCCACCGGCCGATGTTGTTGCATAACAAAGAAACCCAGGTCTACCAAAAAAGCTTTTCTGGTAAACAAAAGCAGGTTTCAAAGAGTTGGCCCATGTCCAGAAACTCAACCGGGAAATTATTTTCTTTTAATAGGCGTACCAAGTAAGACAATGACATTTAGTCACCTGTCATACTTAAATCAATAAAAAACTGGGGCCAGCATTCCATTTCAACGAAAATTATATATATATATATATATATATATATATATATATATATATATATATATATATATATATATATATATAATACATTTATTTTTACATTTGTCTGATCTTTTAACATTTGTTCTGAGTATTTATATCAAAACATCTTGACCAATTTTTCTTTCTTAAAAAAACAGCTGTCACTATTGCATATTTTATTACAAATAAAGTTATTATAGTCTTATCAAAGTATTTACCCTCTGAAATTGTATGGAGATCTGTTCTGCAGCTAGTTGGGAAACCTGCAGATGTTTTGCTTTAAAGGATATTAAGTAGTTCAACAACTTGGAGTCCTGGAATCATTCAAACTTTCTATTTTGACAGCAAAGTTGCCTTTTTTATAGAACAATACTTTTTTTTATTCTAAACCATTCCACCAATTCAAAGATGCTACAACCTTTCCTTTGCATACTTCTCTTTATTTGACTTTATTTCAAATTGACAGAAACGCCCACGATTTTTACGCACACGCACAGAGGCGCACTTTCAAACTAAAGGTGTGATCCATTACAGCTTTAATGTCTCCTGCTGCGTGATGCGAGGTGTCCTTACCGTAGAAGGTATTTCTGGTGATTTGACCTCCCATGGCTGGATGCAAGGTGCTTTCACTCTTTCTACAAGCTGAACCCACAGTCCTAAACCAGCTGCGCGTCCTCAGTCACGACATTATATTGAAAAGACGCTTAAAAGATTAAAAAAGACTCCCGATAGAAAGGAGAGGTTGAGCGCAGAGTCTGTCCAAATCCTCATCGATATTAGGCAGCAGGCAGCGACTCAGATCTGAAGCGCTGTGTCTCACTCTGTGAACACTTCACGCTGAAATTATCATAGAAGGTGGTGGTGGAGGTGGAGCTTCTCAGGGGAATCCTGGCTCTGCTTACGTTAAATTCGATCTCGTGGAGGTAAATGAAAGTAGGTCTGCTGCAGAAATCCTACACATTTACGAGTACTTTCATTTCTTTAAGTTCCCATTTTACGTGAAACGTGTTTTGTATTGCACCTGTTGAGATAATCTACCTCTGCTGCTATTTCATTTAATTTATCAAACCAAATCTATCTATCTATCTATCTATCTATCTATCTATCTATCTATCTATCTATCTATCTATCTATCTATCTATCTATCTATCTATCTATCTATCTATCTATCTATCTATCTATCTATCTATCTATCTATCTATCTATCTATCTATCTATCTATCTATCTATCTATACTTTGTTACTGTACTTAAGTACACTTTTTAGGTATCTATATTTTACTCCATTGCTTATTTTTCTTCCTACTTCTGACTTCTACTCATTACATTATCACACAAGTATCTGTGCTTTCTATTCCTTACATTTTTAAAACAAACGTTATTCGTTACTCTTGACTTCGGCTTTATGTTTAGAAATATTTATAAATATTTATAAACATAAATATTTATTTCATGTCATGTGCGCCATCCAATGCAGATCATTGGCATCATCCACATCTAGTGAAAACTAGTGGAAAACACTCTTTGGTTAGCTAAAGGAAATCATCAGAAGCAAGCAGGTTTTCTTCAAACTGCAAATTTGAATCCTTTACGTATTCTATGCAACAATGGCAGAAAAAGATGTTGAAATGTCTGAAAGGTCGGACACAGGTGAGAGCGTATCGGGAGATGGAGAGGGAGCCCAACAAGACCTCCCTCATTCTTGGCCCTATCTCAAAGAGTTTTTCAAAATAGTCGAAATATTGAGCTTTCAATTCATATGGTGACATCTGGCTGTTTTTTTTAAAGGTTGTTTGATACTTTTATACTTTAAGTCGTTTTTGGAGCGCATACTTTTTCACTTTTACTTGAGCAAAGAGGTCAAGTTGATACTTCAACTTTTATCAGAGTGTTTTTAAACTGCAGTTTCTATACTTTTACTTAAGTAACAAATGCGAGTACTTTTGACACCACTTTTGACACTGACACCACTGTGTATTAGTTCATCAAAGAAATGTTACTATCAGGCAAAATTTACCAGATGAAATGCAAAATGCAGTTTTCCAAGTACAGTTGTGCTTATTTTGGAAACATCTATCTAAGCCAGTGCTATGTGAAAACATAAGTGGAAGAAGTTAAAGGGAAACTGCATTTTTTCTTTACATTGGCCCCTTGATTTTATGTTATTACGTCATGGTCTACTCACCAATATGAGTTTAGTGTCATTCGGAGCTGTTCTGAAGATATTCTGTTAGGTTATATCCAAGTAACATCTTCCTATGGGCAACGCTTCGAAGGCACGAACTAAACTGTTCATAATTTATAATTTATGGTACGCCAGCATTCATAACATGTAGGCGAATCACTGTCCTCCAGACATCCGCGGTTATATTTTTTATATTTATATCTTTTAAAAACAAAGCGGAGTGTGTATGACGTCATTCGCGCGCTAGACTGGAGTTTTGAGAGGCAGCTTGGGCCACAGGCGGCTACGCTCTACCACTTCTATTCGTTCGGCTAGCTAATCTGAATCGTTCAATTCCATTTGGAGAGCGAGATCATCTGTGGTAGTAGCACTAGACATCTTCAAGGCATGTGAGTAAAACTAGCAGCAGTTCAGCGGACAGGATGAATGAATGGTAGCCGGCGCGCGTGGATCACGTCATATACACTCCGCTTTGTTTAAAAAATATATAAATTTAGTTATTCACGGTTAACATCTAACAAGGACAACTCTTTATTTGCTTGACTTGAAATGTGTCCATATGATTCAATTAAGTTAAAAGTCTAAAGTGCCTTGAGATGGAATAAAATATAAATAAATCAATGAGTTGAAATAAATAAAAATTTCACACAGGGCTTAATTGGGTAGCACAGATTTTATTATCCTGTAACAAATGAATGGTTGCTTTACAACTGCTTTGTATTTATTGGGATTATTTTTGTCAATTTACATTTACATGTGTAACCAAACTGTGCTTTATACCATCTGAATACAGATTTCAATATGTATACATAGGGCTCTATAGGCAAGGGCAAAAGCTTGTATGCACCTAATATCATTCAATTAAAATTTTATTTCAAACTGTAAATTAAATGTTGTTGTCATTCTTATTATTCAAGTCACTTCAAAATCTTATAAATGCTGCACAATTCATAGACGATATACAACAATACAGCTGTGGCTGTTGACCGCAGCTGTATTGTGCATAGCGTCCTCTGAGCATCATCATGAATAGGATGCTCAGGGTTCTTCCATCCACCCATCCATTTTCTGTCAACCTTATCCCTGTTGGGGTCGCAAGGGGTGCTGGTGCCAATCTCCAGCTGTCAATTGGGCGGGGTATACCCTAAACAGGTTGCCAGCCTATCGCAGGGCAACACAGAGACAAACAGGAAAAACAACCATTCACACACACACTCACACCCAAGGAGTAGATTACCAGAAGAATGAAGAGAAGCCAATTAACAGTAATGCTTTGGAATGTTGGAGGAGGCCAGGGTACCTGGAGAGAACTAACACATGCACTGGGAGCACATGCAAACTCCATGCAGAAAGGAATTGAACCCAGAACCTTCATGGCTCCGAGTTCAAGTTCATTAATTCTTTTTGGATTTTTTCATTAATTTTTATGGGATTTCGGTGTAACAATCAACATATACCGAACCGAAAACCGTGACCACGAAACCATGAACCGAACCGAACCGTGGATTTTGTGAACCGTTCCACCCCTAAAATACATATATATATATATATATATATATATATATATATATATATATATATATATATATATATATATATATACATACCGTAAATTCTCTAATATAGGCCCGGGCCTTTATTTCACTCAAGTGCATCGCGGTCCAGGCCTTTATTGGATAGAGGCCAGTATTAGAGACAGGCCTCTATTGCTATTTGAGCAAAACAGACTACCAGTGGAATGAATAAAAATGAGATTTTGTGTCTATTTGAACCTATAAAACACTAGGTTCATTTATTGAAAAAGTACAGTTATCATGTCTCGCTTGGTTTGAAGTAAAAAAAAAATATAAAAATCCTCCAATTCTGTTTAATTCTCCTCCTCAGTTTCCTCCTCCTCTTCATCTCTCCCTTTATTCTCCTCATCACTCGCGCTGCTCCTCCTGTTCTGCTGCGTGTCTGTTCTCTTCCTCGCGCAGACGGGCAGCAGCAGGGCTTGTCGTTCAGCTGCGCAGGGCTGTGGTACTTGTATGTTACTACCACAAGTATAATGTTGAGGTATGCCCAGAAAAAACGTTTATAGCCCCGGCCTGTATTAGAGACCGGCCATTATTTACCTCCTCTGACAGCGAGACCGGCCATTATTAGAGACCCGGCCGCTATTGGAATACAGGCCAATATTAGAGAATTTACGGTATATATATATATATATATATATATATATATATATATATATATATATATATATATATATATATATATATATATATATATATATTAGGGATGGGACGATTTATGAAAACCGTCAGAATCGTTCGGTTCGACTGTCTCGGTTCGGTTCGCGTGTTTTTCGTTCGGTTCATGCGCTGCTCCTTTTTCTCATAGAGGAAGCGATTACACTCCAGAGCAGAAGGTGGCGGTACTGCGACCAAAGCCAACCGCCAGTAGTAAACAAGAAGAAGAAGAAGCGAAGCTGCTTAGCCGGTGTAGGTACCAGATTGTGTTGGACTGGCGAGTGGGAAAGAACAGGAGTTAGAAGACGCGCCAGCAGCACTTTATAGGTCTGCTGTATGGGAACGCTTTGCATTTAGAGTGACCTACGATGAAAGCGGAAAGAAAGTTGTGGATAAAAAGGCAACAGCGTGCGAGCATTGTGCCACACGTTTTGTTTATTCTAACAGCAACATGTCATGCTAACTCCGAAATCCCTCATACCCCGCTCCGCCCCGCTGCGCTCCAGCCTACAGCCCCCACTGTGGCTTCGTCCGCTCCCCTCTGAGTTCCTTGGAGATGGTAGAGAGCATGTAACCTGACGACAGCCAGATGCATGTCTCGCTCCGCCAGATGATTAAATTCAAAGCAGCAAAACATACGGAAATGATCCAGGGTTTCCGCGGATCATTTAAAATAATTACAATCCATTATTTTTGGGGGGATTTTTTCATTAATTTCATAATTTTTTATGGGATTTTGGTGTAACAATCAACATGTATCGAATCGAAGCGAAAACCGTGACCAGAAACCGTGAATCGAACCGAACCGTGGATTTTGTGAACCGTTCCACCCCTAATATATATATATATATATATATATATATATATATATATATATATATATATATATATATATATGCCGTTTTTTTTTTTATGAAATACCTCCATAGTAAAGCTGACTCTTTTTCAGCCAAAGTGGTCTGCTTTATATATCAGCTTTTGGAGCTTTTTTAAGCAACTGATTCTGATGCTTCTACCTCAACAGATTAAATCATGCAGTATGGTGTGCTTCACCTTTAAAAGAAAACAAACACCCTCGCCTGCATAAGGTCTTTTTGTTGATAAACTGAGACAATGCCTGATAGTGTTTACAAATGCACATTAAAGTATGTCACTGAATCCCCTTGAAGAAACATGGAAGTGCTGGAATGCGGGGTAGTCCAATTGCAGTGTGGGTATATCAAAAGGTAACTTTCAATATCCTATTTCACGGCCAAATTAAAGACACACGGGCTAAAACAGTTATGTTTTATAATAATGTCTGGTTTGCATAGGTTGAGGTATTCTGTCAACTTGAAATAGCCATAAAAAGGTTTACTTTCCAAGTATGTTTGGTGTGTTTTTAGAGGACTATTCAAAGGTAGAGATCTTC